TTTCAAATAATTCCAAAATACCACTGTAGCTGCAAAATGCAGGCAAATATAGGGAAGAGTTTCCATGGTATTATGAATCCTACAAATTCCCCCACAAATCTGACACTGAAAACACAATAATAGAAGAAAGCAGAACTCTCTATCTAGTGGAGGCTCACTCACATTTAGGCTATTTTATACATTGCCCGTAGATTTGGAAGTTCTCTGTAACTACATATGAAGCCTCAGATTCCTAGAAAGCTACTTGTAAAGTTATTTAGTTAGACTGTTCTACTATGTCTTCATTAAGATAGCCACGACTTAATTAAATGTTGAACACTGCATTTGCTGAGTCAGACGTACTTGCCTCATTTTTAAATCTACTGCAGTACTGTTGTATTAGATTTCATACAAGCAACCACATCACTTCCATTAAATTCCAGAACACACAGTACAGGGTCTGTTCCAAGCACCTGGACACCGATAAACATTTCAGTATAAATGCTGTAACGTGTGGGTTACAGGAATTTTTATTGGCCAGTGACTGTGGCAAAAGGTTAGCACAAACCTCTATCTTCATGTAAAGTCTGCTGCTTGGTACAGGAATTTCACAGCCATATACATTCAGAACTACAGCTTTACTTATTTACTTAAAACTCCCTATGTGTAACACAACCCCCTGCATGCTGGCACCTACTAAATCAACACTAGTGGAGTGTATCAGCAGGGACAGAGTTTCCAACACACAGGACAGGATATTTCAGAGTGGAAATCAAGACATCTTAAATACACACCTTCCAACAGAAACTAAGTTCGTTCTGCTTTAGGACACCATGCAAAGTGCTTCCACACCATGTCTTTTTGCTCCAATCTGGAGCCTCTGTTTCTCCACCACTTTGAGTGCACATGTACTTCAAGTGCACCACTCTGACCTCCACACCCAACATGACAAGGTCTACCATACGTAAGATTCAGAATAACCTCTTACTAACAAATACCTTTCCCAGCAAAATAATTCAGGTGAGTGACCCTGGAATTACAGGTCTTTCAGATATCAAGTTAAAACAGACTGATCCAAGATTGGCAATATAGAAATACATACATTTACAAGCCACGTGACTGGATAAAGACAAAACAAACTGCTGTAGAAATGAACTTTCAAGAGTCAGTGTAAGAGGAGAACACAGAAGTTCAAAATAACATTCAGGTTTAGAGCTTAATTTTACCAAAAACACAGTAAGTGTGATGAATGCCCAAACAGATTTCGAGGAAATATCAATTTTAAAGAAGTGATTATAAATTACTACCAGGCTCTCATGTCTTAGATAATTATAAGGGGAGGAAGATTAATAAATACTTTTAATCAAGCCCTCAACAGTACTTATCCAATCACAGATGAGATTTTCCAGACTGTTCAAAGCATACAACCGCTTTCAAGTTTTATGGCAACAGTTGTAAAGCTTTTTCTATGTACTTTGTCACATTTCAGCTTCCACGCTCTTATTTTGAAAACAAAATTGTTTGAGAATGTTTGACTGCACTATATTACTGGCCAAGTCTGCCACTGAAGAGCTGTGGAACATAACCATTCAGAGGGCGAGGTAAAACACACTACCTTCAAAACATGAAAAGCCATCTCTAGTCAAGGCTTGCCCCTTTACCTAAGTCATAAATCATCAGATAAATACAAAGTTGCAAAATTGCAGCTTGGGATTTAGAATGAATGCAAATAGGTCCTTTATACAGCACACACCTACTGCACAGCTGATTATGATTAAAGAATGCACTGACTGAACACTTCAACCTTAGGTGTCACCAGTAATCCTATAATCCAGTAATAAGGTGTTTTTTAGACTGAACTAGTACCTGGAATTACTTCCAAGTGATCCAGATTGTGAAAACGAGCTGTGTAGCCAAAAGAAGAGCAACAAAGAGCTACACTCCTCTCCTCCAGAAACAAAACTAAGTTATTACACAAGTATCTCAACATATAATCTAAACTATTCCTTTTTAAATAACGAAAAATCTACTTTGGCTGCCTCAAATGTAAATGCAGCTAAACTTTTCAACACCGAGGTTAACGCAGCTTTTAGAAACAAATAAAGGCGGGGAGGGGTGGGAAGAGGACGCAGCGGGGGAGATGACAGCAACTTGTGCAACCTGCCGGTGACCTGTGAAGCACAATTTCATCCTGCTCCCTCCTACCTGCTCTGCACACACTCGGGAGAAGCAGCAGCAGGCCAGCTCTCTGCTGCAGCATCAGGGTCAGGTAAGGATTGCAGCAGAGGAGGAGGAGGAAGAGAAGACTGCCATTGCATTCCATTTTTGCCATTTTCTTTCCTCCAAGCCATTACTTAGAATTTTGCAGCTAATCACCTCCACACCCATCCCAATTAATGATGCAAAACAGGCAAGATACTTGTTTCCTCACTGCAAAATACATGCACCTACAGAGAAGCAGGGAGAAAGCAGATCCTGGCAAGGACTCCCAGCACACATGTCACTCGCAGAATTACCCAGATCATGAAGCCACCTATTGTATTATTCCTCACACAACATACAGTTTCCAATCACAACAAGGAAGGGCAATGACCCTTGCACATGCTTTAAAGAGACAGATGAGGAACCCTTACAGTAACTTCAAAACTGCACCAAAGACTTCGGGGTGTGGAGAGCAGAGTGGCACCTGTGAGCTACAGTGATGGAAGTGCTCTGACACCCCACAAGCTAGTTTGAGATCAGATGCTTGCAAGTATTTCACGACATGACAGCAGCAAGCACCGCCAGAGGAAACCGCATCAGCACAACATGACACCAGCAAAACCACCCAAATTCACCTTTCCCACCCTCTGCCGGGGAAGTTCCGAGCGCTGCAACATATGGCACTAGAGCGCATCAGGGACCACGGGAAGGTAACATTCACCTGGAAAGAGGGTGTCACGCTAAGCGTCTGTTCTTGGGACAGTGGCATTCAGCACGAGGAGCACCAGCGTGCTCCCTGCAGAGCAGGTCGGTCTAGGTGCTCAGTGAAAGAAGGCGCAAGGTGAAGTGCAGGCAAAGAAAACACAGCGCGAACATCACTTCCAAAACGTGGCGTTACAGGCTGGACCATTCCCCTCCCCAACTTACTCAACATCCCCGCAGTACAGCCGAGCCACGGCGATGTGCAACGCCTAGTGCCTAGG